CCTTTCAAAAGATTACAGGAAGGCCTATGGACTGGATATTGATTCAAGCTCTGTTTCCTTGTCCCCCGCCTCTCATGTCGAACATGCTCAACAAGCCTGCTTTCAAGGACATGACATGCTTTTATCTGAGAAAAGCTTTTCCATGTTTACTGTTCCAGGCGCTGTCATCAACCTCTCTGAAGGCAAAGATGCTAACATTTCCAGTACTCCAGAGGCTGTGTTTATGAGACCAGGGGTTGACTGAGGAAATCGTTTTTCCTTTCGGGATACTGATTCCGGAGTCAGAATTTTAGAGGGCTTATATAATGTGTGTATGGGGGGGGCATCTTTTGAAAAGCTATTTACCATCTGACTAAAGCCCCTTCTGCTCTGTACCATTAAAGCAATGAAATACCACTTTAAAGAGTTATACCTTCCCCAAAACAATCCAGGGAATTGTAGTTTGCTGAGAGTGCGGAGAATTGTGCGGAGGCCCCTATTCCCCTCACAGAGTCACAATTCCCAGAGTGATTTAACAATCAACCCTTCTTCCCAGGGAACTTGGGGAATTGTAGCTCTGTGAGGGGAATAGGGGTTTCCTTGTAGCTCTTGGCAGCACCCTTAACAAACGACAGCTCCCAGAATTCTTTGAGGGAAGCAGTGACTTTTTTAAAAAGCAGAGACATCACCTTGCCAACAAAGGTCCGTATAGTTAAAGCTATGGTTTTCCCAGTAGTGATGTATGGAAGTGAGAGCTGGACCATAAAGAAGGCTGATCGCCGAAGAATTGATGCTTTTGAATTATGGTGCTGGAGGAGACTCTGGAGAGTCCCATGGACTGCAAGAAGATCAAAAACATCCATTCTGAAGGAAATGAGCCCTGAGTGCTCACTGGAAGGACAGATCGTGAAGCTGAGGCTCCAATACTTTGACCACCTCATGAGAAGAGAAGACTCCCTGGAAAAGACCCTGATGCTGGGAAAGATTGAGGACACAAGGAGAAGGGGACGACAGAGGACGAGATGGTTGGACAGTGTTCTCAAAGCTACCAGCATGAGTTTGAGACTATAGGAGGAGGAAATTGAAAGGAAAAGTTCTGGATTCCTGGCAGTGCAAGTGGTTTTCTTACAGGGAGTCAAGCCGAGGGGCCCCAAAATATTAGTAGTAGTAGTAGTAGTAGTAGTAGTACCACCTGTACTTGTCCTCTGCTCTTCCTCAGTAGCCTGTTGCTGGGAAAAATTGAGGGCACAAGGAGAAGGGGACGACAGAGGATGAGATAGTGGACAGTGCTCTCGAAGCTACCAGCATGAGTTTGACCAAACTGCGGGAGGCAGTGGAAGACAGGAGTGCCTGGCGTGCTCTGGTCCATGGGGTCACGAAGAGTCGGACATGACTAAACGACTAAACAACAACACCAACAATTGTTGGCATCTGTCTGTCTCGATAGGCAATGGAGTGTGCCTCTGAGGGTGAAATCAAATTGCTGCATTAGCAGCCCCAAAGTGACCTTCCTGAGGTGCAAGCCTTGGCAGTGTGTATGGAAGTCTTGAGCTGCCCATATGACAAGACCCCGTCTCTCGACCTCACTGATGTGATGCAAAGGAAGCACAGCAGGACGTTTGGCACCAGCTTGGCTGCAGGAGTTGCCAGAAGGAGGCATACAAGGCCCCATCCAAACGTCTTAGGGACTCCACTCCAGATTTGTGCAGAATTTACTCTTTAGATAAGGCGAGGGAGGTTGAGGATTAGAGTTTTCTTTCTCCTAGATGGGCTACACTTCCAGGTTGACAAGCCCCATCTGCCCCTCATTTCCCTCTGCAGGATATGCAGAAACCACTGTCTTAAATGTTGGACCCACTATTGGTCTCATCCACTCAATCTGTCATGCATGCATGGGAAGCCCCAAACTCAGGCACCTCCAAACTCAGCCCTCCACATGTTTCGGGACTACAACTCCCATCATCCCCAGCTAACAGGACCAGTGGTCAGGGATGATGGAAATTGTAGTCCTCCCAAAAAACTGTAACCCTGGGGATTATCTAATTGATTTTTACTTTTTGAATTTTTGTTTTATACTATATTTTATGCTGCTTTTATAATTAAGTGTTTTAAATTTGTTGTTAGCTGCCCTGAGCCCAGTTTTTGAACCGGGAAGGGTGGGGTATAAATAAAAAATTATTATTATTATTATAAAACATCTGGAGGACCGAGTTTGGGGGTGCCTGCCCTAACTCACGAAGAGTTTAATACCTATCAGCTACCCTCACTTGATTAGCTGCCCAGTCGAAGCCCTTCCTGTGTTGTTGCATGCTGACAGCTTCTAGGAGCCACAGGTGAGGGCTCAGTTGAGTGCAGGATGGGGACCAAAGGTGGACGAACGACCCCAGAAGGAGCATGATGTGTTTCCCCTTAAAGTGGCGCAAGAGTGCTCTAAATGCATGGTGCTGGTACTAAGACTGTCTGAAAAATTCACATGGCTGAGAACACAACTAGCAGATCACACACATGTTGACTCTGTGTGCTGCAGTTCCTGAAGGAAACTTCAGTAGCAGTGAAAAGCAGCACATTAGCTGCAGTATATTTTCAAAGCTTTTTAAAAATTATTTACTAAAATTTATATACCACTGAATCAGAAAAAAGCAAAACCCTGTCTCTAAGCAGTTACAAAACACTCATTAAAAATAGCAAGAAAATAATAAATATAGATAAAATCCACAGATTTTTTTTAAAAAACACACACATATGTAATGAAAGCACATGTATTAGTAAGCTAACCGGAACCGTTTTTTGCAGACATCAAAAACACAACAATGAAGGCACTTGCCTAATCTCAAAAGGCAGGGAGTTCGAGAGAGCAGGTGCTGCTACACTAATGAAAAACAAGTTCTTGCCAGTGCAGATTGAAAATGATGAGGCACTTGGAAAGCTGTGAGTTCCCTAGATCAAAGCGGTCAAGTTAGTCCACACAAGTACAGTCATAACTCATGTTACGTCCGCCTCATGTTACGTTCTTTCAGGTTACGTCCTGCGGCGACCCGGAAGTACCGGAAAGGGTTACTTCCGGGTTTCGCCGCTCGCGCATGCACAGAAGCGGCAAATCGCAACCTGCGCATGCGCAGACGCACCACTGCGGGTTGCACTCTTTTCATGTTGCGAATGGGCCTCCGGAATGGATCCCATTCGCAACCAGAGGTACCACTGTATAAGAAGAAGGTGCTCTTGCAAGTCCATTTCGAACAGCATTTCACCAAAGCCACTCCCCAGCCCAGCCCCAGGCCAGTTGAACATACCCTTTGTAGGAGACGGTCAGGCCTGCCACATCAACATTCTTGCAGCCAATGGCAAAGAGCAGCAGCAGGAGGAGGTAGCCAAAGAAAGAGGATCCCAGGGACAACTTGGCCGCCCCCAAAACGTTCAGCCTGAATTTCTTCATGATCAGCCCTCCGGAGAATATCCCCAAAGCCACAGCAGGGATATTGATGAGACCTATAGCCCCTCAAACAAAGAGGAAAATCAATACGGTGTGGTCTCGTTTTTAGCAACCTACATAATTCCCCTGAAAAATTCTGGTAGCCCAATAAAAAATTTAAAAAGCAGCCAGTACCAGTTACTGCTCCTTCCGTAGGAACGCAACACAAAGGAATATAGAGAAATACAGAAACACGGCTCACATAATTCTGCATGAAATTATATAGAATTTCCCAAAGGCAAAATGTAAAAATAAGACATTTACATTCCACCAAGTGTCCGTTTCATTAAATATAGTCTTTACATAATGCATGCAATATCAAAATCAGGTACAAGTGTATGAGTGTTATTCATTCAATAAAGAGCAAAGAATCTCTACAAGTGTTGTTGTTGTTTAGTTGTGTCCGACTCTTCGTGACCCCATGGACCAGAGCACGCCAGGCACTCCTGTCTTCCACTGCCTCCCGCAGTTTGGTCAAACTCATGTTGGTAGCTTTGAGAACACTGTCCAACCATCTCGTCCTCTGTCGTCCCCTTCTCCTTGTGCCCTCCATCTTTCCCAACATCAGGGTCTTTTCCAGGGAGTCTTCTCTTCTCATGAGGTGGCCAAAGTATTGGAGCCTCAGCTTCAGGATCTGTCCTTCCAGTGATCACTCAGGGCTGATTTCCTACAAGTGTACTTGTTGCTAAAGGATAATCCGCAGACTGGGGGGGGGGGGACCTATTCACATCCCCGGGAGTGTTGTAGTGTTGGCCTCAATCACCCAAATTGCAGTAGCAGTGCCTCAGCTGTGTAAAAATCATTCAATTCTCTTGAATGAATGGTCATTTGGATGGAACTTTGGCTTTGAGACACATTCTGTATTGCACTTGTACATGATTTTGGTATTCCATACCTTCTGAATTGGACCCAGAGGGAAACGCTCGTGGAGCAAATCATGTCAGTTTTGCCTTTATGCAATAGTCGAGTTCCTGCACACACTCAGAGGCCCTTCTCTAGTCTCTACCCAGGCAAGCAACTAGCATTTTAACAGAGTTAAAACACATTCCAGCCAGGAAGAAAGGTTCAGGGAGGGTATGAAACACAGCAAGTAAGAAATGTGGCCTGGGGGGAAGTTCTCAGGGTCAAATAGAGAAGCTGGGAGGGCTGGAGTTGGTCCCTGGGCCTCATAGGGGCCAACTCCCTGGGGCTCTGGGGGCTCTTGCATTAAGGCACCCAAAAATTTCAGAGCTAGGGCCATGCACGCTGCATGACACCCATGGCTCCAGGCACCTACAGCCACAGGGCCAAGCTGGCACTCATGCCAGGTCTCATGTTGCCCACCTCTGCTTTGAATTAACCCTGATATCCACTAGAGCAGGGGTGTCCAACAGGTTGACCCCCCCAAAAAAACTCTCAACAACTTTGATGGGTAGATTACTGCCAGTTTTTTAAAAGTGGGAGTAGATCGCAGTCTCTTGGAAGTTGGACGTGCCTGCACTACAGGATAATTGAAGTTTGGATCCCAGGCGCCATTTTGATTCAAGATGGTGACTTTGGTCTGACTTCACTCCTTTCTTTGGCACGATGGTTCCAAGCATATAAATTACTGTATGTGTGCGGCTCTTGGGGGCTTTCCCCACAAGGAGGGAGAAGGGCAGCCCATCAGCCTACAAGCACCGCACACACGCTCCACGCGGCTCGTGAAAGGGAGCGCGGAGCAGAGTCTGGGATGCATACAGGCTTTGCTCAGCGCTCCCTTTAAAAATAATTTTTTTCTTGCATTCCCCTTCTAAAAACTAGGTGTGTCTTATGGTCAGGTGCGTCTTATGGAGCGAAAAATACGGTACACTGTCTATTTAAAAATCACAATATGTTTTGGTAGCACTGGGAAACCCCCTCTAGTTTTAATATACTTTTATAGTTGCTGAATGTGGAAATATCTGAGGTGGACCATTTTTCCTCCACCCCCCATCCCCTCTCATCTCCCTACTGCCCAAAGACAACATATCGGGACCTGTCTGGGTGTCTTGCATTATTATGCTATAGCAGTCTTTGCCAACCTCATCCCCACTGGATGTTTTGAGCTATAACTCCCATCAGCCCCAGCCAGCATGGTCAACAGTCCAAAAAGTCTGGAGGGCACCGGATCAGTGACTGTTGTCCTATAGTAACAGCAATAAACCTTTTGCCTATTCTTCTCAAGTGGCACTTCCTCTGCTTTGCATAATCTTAAATTGTTTCACACATAGCTAGCGGCTTAGCACTAAGAAAAGCTTGACATACAATGGAAGGCACTGTGCTATGGGCAATAATTGCTGCTGAGTGCCTTTTCTCCTCCTAAACAGCATTCGCAGATTATACTAGTTGAATAGGTGCCATGCCAAGAAATTCCAACTTCCATCTTCGAGGAACGAGAACAACAAAGTGTAACGCAGCTGGTCCAAAAATAAAACACTTGGGTTGCATCCAACTAAGTTCTGCTCAAAGCAGATCCACTGAAATTAATGGACCCAAGTCCATCAGGGATATTAATTTCAGATGGGTGCATTTTGAATAGAACTAGCATGGGCTTCAACCCTCGGTATATATAAGAAGCTCCATGTTTGCCTCGCAATTCTGCAGCCTTTGACATACCCAAAGAAAACTCTGACCCGAAAAGCAGGCTTTGTTTCCATACCTAGCTTCCACTCAGCAAAGCTAGCACAGAGTGGCATCTATTTACATGCCGTACTTTTCTGTTTATCAGACGAGGTGGGTTTTTTTACTAAAAAATAAGGTTCAAAATGTGGGCTCGTCTTATACACAGATAGTGCATGGGGGGGGGCGTGCGATTGGCTGCTGCCGCGATCCAGAGATTGTCAGTGGATACTGGGCGTGCTATTGGTGGCTGCGGCAAGGGCTGTTGTTGATTGGCTGCTGCTGCATCAATTGGGCAGACAACTGCTGGCTTCTGCCGGCGAGGGAACAGACGGTAAGCGGCTATTGTGACGCATGCGAGTGGCCATGCAGATCATGCGGATGAGCTATTTTCTGCAATCCCCCCTAAAAAAAAGCTCAACAACTCTGGGCAATCTCCCCTCATTTTCTTAATTTGTAGTCCCCCAAAATAGGGGGCATCTTATACATGGGGGCATGTTATGCACAGAAAAATACGGTACTCATTTTGAAAAAGCACGGCATTCATACCTATGACAAAATTGGTCTTCGAAGATGATTGCCCAAATTGCTGCTCAATGTATTTTGCTTTGTAAGTCACCATACCAATGAGAGAATTGAACTGGGTGATGCTGGAGCAGAGGTATAAAAAATACACTGGATTCCCAAAGAGGCTTTTCAGTGACGGCAGGAAATCTGCAAAACAAAACGGTGGCCTGCTGTTGACAAAGTGACTGGAAAACAACATGCAATGCAAAATTGTTTTCAAAGACCTCACCGGGTTCGGAATATTCCAACACACACTAAGCTCAATGCAATGTGGTTCAGCCACATCCTCAATACGCTCATTTGATGGTTCATCACCCAAGGGTAGGAAAGCAAGTCAGGGTAATTAGTAGAGACTGTTACCAAACTAGCTGATTTGAAAAAAGAGGTTTTATAAAGTCTGAATGTCACTCAGTTCACCAGCCACATGACCTCACCTCTAGCCATCTCGAGAAACTTCACTTGCTCTTGGTAGGTGATGCGGTGTTCTCTGTTATCTTCGTTGATGAACTTGGACTGCTCAGAGGAAGTGCTGGAATCCTTTCGGGTGTCTGGTCTTGGAAGATGTTTCGGTAAGAACCAGAAAGGGATAGCGGCAAGGATGCTGACCACCCCGGCTATTAAATAGCCAAGCCACCAAGCTCCTACCCATTGGGAGTCCTTGTGAGTTATGCTTATGCTGTCTGGGGAGGAAGAAATGAAGATGTCAGCCACCAGTAGGAACGGTTCAGTGGTCAGAGTGTCAAGACTAGGACGGAGGTTATTACACCAGTGAAATTAGCTAAAATGTATAAGACAAATAATAAATGTTGGAAATGTAAAGGAAAAGAAGGAACATTTTATCATATGTGGTGGGAATGTAAGAAAGTAAAGAACTTCTGGGAAATGATATAGAATGAGATGAAAAAGATGTTGAAATATACATTCTTAAAAAAAACCAGAAGCATTTTTACTTGGTATTATAGGCCAAGACATTAATAGGCAAGATGTTAAATTGTTCTTATATGCAACAACAGTGGCAAGAGTACTGTTAGCCCAGAAATGGAAGCAAGAAGAAATTCTGACGAAAGAAGAATGGCAGATGAAATTAATGGACTATGCAGAATTGGACAAAATGACAGGAAGGATTCAAAACCTGCGGGACCAGAGATTTACAGAAGATTGGACGAAGTATATGAATTATTTGAAGAGCAACTATAATAAAAAAATTACGCTAGTAGGACTACAAGAAGTTTTGTAAGGAGAAATATGAGAAGTGTTACAAAGTAGAAAAAGATAGAGATATTGGTTATGAGTCTGAAATGTAATAGGGAAGATAAGAAATGCATGCTAAGAGATTAGATTGGAAAATTTTCAGACAGGACTGATGGAAGTCAAAAAAAATTGAATAAGATGTAAAAGTATGTTTAATTATTGTTGAAAATGGTATGTTAAAAAACTAATAAAAATTTATATTAAAAAAAGAAGAAGACTAGGATGGAGGAGACCAGGGTTCAAATCTCCACTTGGCCACGAAGCTCGCTGGACGACCTAGGGCCTTTCAGCCAAACCCACCTCAGAGATTGGGGTGTGTTCAACAGACTCATTGCAGCCTTGCTCAGACTCACCCATGTCTACAAAGCCGATGTCAACATACAGTGTGGCACATAAGGATCCCAGGAGGAAGCCAAAGATGGGGCCTATTATTGCAACCGTCTGCACACACCCTGAGAAAAGGAAGCAGAACAGGCATATTAGACTGAAAAGTTACACTTTGACCTGGTCAATATAAAGGTAAAGGGACCCCTGACCATTAGGTCCAGTCGTGGCTGACTCTGGGGTTGCGGCGCTCATCTCGCTTTATTGGCCGAGGGAACTGGCATACAGCTTCTGGGTCAGGTGGCCAGCATGTCTAAGCCGCTTCTGGCAAACCAGAGCAGCGCATGGAAATGCCATTTACCTTCCCGCCGGAGCGGTACCTATTTATTTACTTGCACTTTGACGTGCTTTCGAACTGCTAGGTTGGCAGGAGCAGGAGCCGAGATACGGGAGCTCACCCCATTGCTGGGATTCGAACCGCTGACCTTCTGATTGGCAAGTCCTAAGCTCTGTGGTTTAACCCACAGCGCCACCCGTGTCCCAGACCTGGTCAATAAGAATGGACAAATCATCTGGTATGGCAGAGGGAGAAACGAGAAGAAATACGACCTGGTTTGAAAAACAAAATACCAATGTAAAAGGCTGCGCTCTCTTCTGTGGCGTGGTCATCAATGTACGCAATCCCCAAAGGCTGGATCGGGGTTTCCCCAATTCCACGTAGCAGATTTCCCAGCAAAACGTAAATCCACATGGAAATTCCAGCTTCCTTTTCACACCCTGTTCGCACAAACCCAAGAGACCGACGTTTGTATTTTGACATCATTCTCCCCTAATACACTAATTAAACTAATGGGACTTTCAACATATACACACCCTTTCCCATCAAATCACACCAAAACATTATATTTCCTGGAGCAGTGCTGCCATTATTTTTTTATCCTTACCTGCATGGATTTGCGCCTGAGCTCTTTCCAAGACTGAGACAGGCAGCTGGTTCTGATCCTGGAGACACGGGGAGATGCTGACAGTTGAATTGGAGGAGGAAGAAAATATCTCATACCTATAGCTGTGTAAAAACCAACAGTTTCTTTACAGAGTTACCACCTGTTACACGGTGGGGGGGGGTATATATTGAAGCTTATTCCAGGCTCCTGTTGAAGGCTACCTGAACTGAAGGCAAGGGCTACACTGAAACGAATAGTTCATGTATATGAACTATGGTGGTGAACCTCATTCTGCCTAATGGTAGAGCCGGCCTGAGTCTTGGTCGCCGTATTGTACCCTGTACTGAATTTCCACAGCTGTCAACATGAGCTGCATGGTGCCACAAGTGGCAAAACTGGAATCCCACAGGGAGAGAATCTTATTCTCCACTCTAAGTCACCCTCATATAAATTGCTTCCTATGAAAAGAGTGCAAAACATTGCAGTATGAAATGTAAGCCAGCCAGACATGGCCCCTTTTAAAAGAATACTCTATTCCGTTTATTTTTCCACCTGTTTTTCTGGGTGGCGGGTCCCTCCAACAGCCACTCAACATTACATGGCCATTCAGCACTCTCAGACTGTTCTCTGGCTCCCCCTCCCCGTAGATTTTTTCAATTTCGCTGTTCTGTATGGGACAATGACAATAAAGATTATCGTATCGTATCATATTGTATCGTGCCCTTCCCCCCAAGTTGCCCATATTGTATCGTGCCCTTCCCCCCAAGTTGCCCAGTGTCTCTAAGCATGAATTGTGCAATTTTATCTACACAAGCAATGGCACTCACCCCTGAACTTTGGAAATAGAAGGAACGTTTAAGCTTTACACATTTGTTTGCTGCAAATTGTGGCGTACTTACTGTCCCATAAAGAACTGCGGCATGGCTATCAAAAATGTTCCGAATGACATGATCAGGCAACCGGCTCCGATGATCTTTGGCCTATGAAGTTTGGCTCCGAAGTAGCTGACCAGGATTATTATTAAAAGGTTCCCTTTAAGAAGCAAGGAGAAACTAACTTAGGCACACTTAGCTCGTCATCTGCCTATATAGCAACAAAATCTTGCTGTGTGTGTCACATACCAATTTCAAAGCTGCCATCTATCAGGCCAACCAGGGACGAAGGGATATCAAATCTTTTTTCTATTTGGGTGATGGTACTTTTCAGGTAACTTCCCGACAGAGCTTTCGCAAAGTAAACAAACGATAATGCAGCAAGAAAAATCTGCAACGAGAAAACAGACGAGGCAGCGCTTTAAAAATGTTTCACCAGTGTTGGATTGATTGATTGATTGATTGATATACCACTTAGATGCTAGTTCGGCTTCTAAGTGGTTCACAGCTCTAAAATCAATACAAAAAATTATTACAAAAAATAATTACAAAATAACAATTACATGATCGCATCAAAATATCTTCAATTTAAAAATAACCATGAAAATTCATTAGGATTTTAGTGTGGATTTCTTGTACTATATGAACATTTTCCCGTATGTAATCTTCCCTAATATGCACAATTAGGTGCTGAATCTTTCTCATACTTCCAGCAGCAGGAATTTTAAAAATAAAGGTCTGGTATCTGAAGGATGCCTAGGAGCAGAGATTCCTGGGCACAGGGGGCAGATCCAAAAGTTAAGACCCAGTGGCAAATTCCCCTGGTTTCCTGGGGTATAAAGCCCAGTTTCTCCTGGGTCTGGTGTGGAGTGGGGTTGGGAGCAGGGCCAGTGAGGGGTATGGCTAGAGAATGGGTGTGGTGTCGGAAAAGTCCTGAGGGCCAGATAGAGAGGCTTGGCCCCTGGGCCTGAGTTTCCATGTCCCTGACCTGTTAAAATAGCTGAAATCCATTAACGACGACAACAAAAAGCCTCCTTTTTTTCTGGTTAGCCAGCAATCCTATATGCAGCGCAGAGAGAACGCCAACCCTGGGGAAATTGCTGGCACTTTAATATGATTGTCTGTCTATTTTTGGAGGCAATAAGCCGCTTCCTTAATGGCTCAGTGGCAACTGAAGGTTTATTCAGTGAAGGAATCGGATTACCTCTGAAGCAGGCAGAGGGGGGAATGATCTTATTTGTCTCATAATGCAAGTTTAATGAACACAACTTGCTTTTAATTCTCCAAACCGGGGAAGTAGTTAAGTGCCACTCTGCACCGAGACTTGGACGAGACGATTTGGTCTCTTTGTGTCAGCATGTGCTCTGGTGCCGGGAAAAGGTGTTGACCTCTGTGTGCAAGTTTGGTGTGTGCATGTCTCGCAATACGACTCACCCGCACCAACAATAACAGAAGTTCAGAGATGCCTTGGTGCTTTTCAAAGTCTGAAGTGCTGTTTTGCGTCGGCCAAGCTGAACACCTGACAGGCACTGAACAATTCTTCCCCCCAACTCACTTCCGCAGTTCCAAACTGGCAGCAAACTTCAGTTTGGGCTCCATTTTTATTGGGACAGACTTAGGCCACTCTCACACCATACATTGAAAAACTATGGTACCAGTTTCAACAGCCATGACTTCCTCCAAAGAATTATGGGAGGTGTAGTTTGTTAAGGGCACTGAGACTTCTTAAAGGTAAAGGGTGTCAGTTATGTTATGAAAACATAAACATCCTGTGAACAGGAAATACGCAGACTCTGTGACTCACAAAGCCTGCTCCCTTTTAAGGTGGAACGGAAATATCCTAACATTGGGACCCCTGACCATTAGGTCCAGTCGCGGACGACTCTGCAGTTGCGGCGCTCATCTCACTTTATTGGCCAAGGGAGCCGGCGTACAGCTTCCGGGTCATGTGGCCAGCATGACTAAGCCCCTTCTGGAGAAGCAGAGCAGCGCACAGAAACGCTGTTTACCTTCCCGCCAGAGTGGTACCTATTTATCTACTTGCACTTTGACGTGCTTTCGAACTGCTAGGTTGGCAGGAGCAGGGACTGAGCAACGGGAGCTCACCCCGTCACGGGGATTTGAACCGCCGACCTTCTGATTGGCAAGTCCTAGGCTCTGTGGTTTAACCCACAGACCCCTATTCCCCTCACAGAGCTACAATTTCCAGGTTGGTTGGGAATTATAGCTCTGTGAGGGGGTAAACAACAGTTCACAGGAGAAAATATGAACTTTAAATGGATGCTGTGATTGGGATTGGATGCTTTGTATTGAGTTGGGCTGTAAGAAGAAAAGGCTTGGCTGAAAAGTATCAGGGAAATAATGTGCCCAGTGACGAATTCTCAGCCCCTTCAAATGAGCCAAGTCCACAATCCACAGCTCTTTTATACTATACCTTCATTCCTCCACAGATTGTTCCTTTCTCCTTCGAAGCTGAGGATTCTGATCTTGAAGAAGACCTGTCAATGGGCAGGATTGTGTTTTTTGAAAAAAGCTGAGTGTTTTCTTTGGATGAATTCTCCATCTGAATTTTCCCTTTCTATCAATCTGAAAGACATAAATAAATGGTTATATAGACCATTTTAATTATTATTACTTCCAGGGAGATCTTCCTGTAATGTGAAAGATGTTTCCTAAGGAATCACATTATCAACTGAACACCTGGAAATGCAATTCTGAGTATGTATAGGAGGAAGAATGACCTGCCCCCAGGGGACACTCTCCCTGTCGTGTTTCTGCAGGAGTCACCAACTGGAAGACTCATTCAGAGATCCACTGGGCAACCTCCTCAGAGGGCAGACACTTCTGCTGCAGCTCTGCCTTAGGAGTCATGGACTACTTGGACACAGAGGAATGGTTGGAGGAACCACCAAGCAAAGATGGCTTAGAGCCTGTGGAGTGGGGAAATGACGAGTGATCAGATGGAGAAGAGGGAGAAGGCTGGGAGGAGGAGGTGATGGAAGCTGAAGAGGTAACAGAACTTAGCGAGCTGGGAGAGTCAGTGGCAGAGAGAAGTCTAGAATCAAAGGCAGAAGCTGAAGCAGAAGGCGGCCAAGAGGCAGAGATGAGTCCAACTGGTGAAGAGGCACGGGTGTCTCCCCCTCCTGCTGTGACAAGCTCCCCTCCCTCCTGGTCACCTAGAACCAGAAGAGGCATGAAGATGGTGGAGGAGAGGTTGAATTCGCATAGGCACAGTCTCTGATTGCTTGGGGGGAAACCCTGGAGAGGTGGGAACTTAGATGGCTGTGGGGAGGTAGGGACTTTCACTCTCGGCAACTGATCCATGGGGCAAGACCTACTGGGGGTGAGATGCTGTGCTCATTAAGGCTGACACTCCGACAAGTCTATGCAGAGTTCTTGCGTGGCTCGCTCCTGTCACCTAGTCACACTGGATGCAGAGATGGAGACAGAACATCTTGTCTCCAGCCGAGGCTGATAGAGAAGATTCAAAGTCAGAGCAGATAATCATGCAGAGACACAGCAGACAGGCTCCTTTGCAGGGATCATAGCTCAGTAGCAGAGCACCTGCCTTGCATTCAGAAAGGTCTCGGGAGCAATCCCAACCACTCAAATTAAAATAAGGTAACAAGTGATGAGAAAGGCTTCTTTTGAGACCTGATAAGCAGAATAGACAATACTGAAATAGGTGGATATATCACATTATTGGAATATCTATAGGCTGCGCTTTCATAAAAATACAGCAAGGTGGTATAGAGCATACACAATTATAATGTCAATAAAAACACCAGTAAAAACATCAATAGAAAGCCTGTCAAAAATATAGCTGTTCTGTCCCTTCACAAAAACTCTGGCTCATACCATGGGCACTTCTTGCTAGACTACTGCAACCTTCTCCTCCCGGGTCCACACACCTTCACTTCTCAAGTCTATCCAGCACTCTGCTGAAAAGATACTTAAGCCTCTCTTGCCACTCTGAAAACGTGGTGTCCCACGTGAAGTCCCTACCCCAGAAGTTCCCAAACTGTGGTTTGAATGGGAAGTGGTTTCGCCAAGAAGCAAACATAAAGACAGAGGGCCTATGGACATTCAAAGAGTGGAGGAGCTCCATGGGGTTTTTTGGGTTTGCTTTTTTAAAAAGAACCTTGAACAATTTAAAATCCCTTTATTATTATTATTATTATTATTATTATTATTATTATTATTATTATTCACAAAGTAAACTTCTCTGAATAGTGCCATCTTTTGAAAACATAAACATTAATAATAATTGTTAAAATATTGTGGACCGTGCTGTGATTTTTGTAAGAATCTGTATTTTGTTAGGCATTTCTTACTATAATTGCATCTGATTTTGTGTGTGTGTGTTAAATAGATACTGTGTTTACTTTTGTGTTCTGTGTTGTAAACCTCCCTGCAATCTTTGGACGAAGAACTAGAATGCAAATTTAATAGAAGAAGAAGCAAATAAATAAATTGTGGTTACAGGTGTTATTAATTCTAAAGGAACACTTCAGAAGATTGCAGTTAATGATGATGATGATGATGATGATGATGATGATGATGATAATAATAATAATAATAATGCAACCATTATCAAGATACATTTCTAAAGTGCCATCAGTGTACACTGCCCTTTAAAGGATAACAGAATTTTTTGTTTTGTTTTCGTATTTGTTTAAAAAAATTTAAAAATTGTTCTAAAAAAAGAAAAGGAGCAGGTCCCTGCCTCCAAGGAGCTTACCACACAGCAGTGCTTTCGCTAAAAATTCTAAAGTATCATTGAGAACGTCAAAGTCACAGGAGCTTTCCAATCATGCAGTGGCTTTCACATTAACCAGAAACATTTTCAAGCTTTTGCCATGACCAATAAACGACTGCAAATGATAGCTTCCCCATTCCCTCCTTCTCGTTCTTCGGCACCAGCGTGACAACAACTTTCTCTAAAGAACCATTCGTTTCTTTGTAAGCACTGACATTATAGAAAAAGTCATATTTCTAGGCAGTCCCCTTAGTTGATTGAATGAAATGAATGAATAAATGAATGAATGAATGAATGAATGAATGAATGTGTGTGTGTTTTCTTACTCACAGGTGATGAGAGGAGAAAGGCCTCTGTCCACAAAGAAGACAGACAACTTTTGAGAAGAGGATGAAGGCAGAGCGGATGAAGAAACAACCTTACCTTGGCAGTAGCGACCTCCAGTCCCTGGTAGTTCTTTTCTGGGGGTGAACTCAGAAACAAATATGTAACTCTTCTCCTAGCCTTCAAGTGGAAGAATCTCGAGCGAAACCCCAGTCTGAGACACGATGCAGTGAGGTAGATCTTATATCTGGAGGTAGAAAGAGGAGACAAGAAAGACCGAAGGGGTGGGGAGAACAGTTCTTTGTTTTGCCTGTGTGGTCAGTATCACCCTCTCACTTGGTCTTTCCTTGTTTACTCCTCCACCTTCAAGTCTGGTCTTTCTTCTCTCCCACTACAAATTCCGGGACACACAAAGGACATGAGCAAAGCAGGAGCTGGAATTCTTCACAGCAGAAATGGTTTTAAAAGTTCTTGAGATCTTTCTCTGCGACATGCAGCAAGTTGGACAGCATGCATGTGATAAAGCTTTCTTTCTCTCTCTCCCTCTCTCTCCCTCTCTCTTTTCCTTCTAAAGCCCTGATCTTCTTAATTGCTGGTTCCCAGGAAATAAAAGACTTCATGGGGGGGGGACCTGCCAACCAAAGGGGAGGGCGGATGGTGTAAGGAAGAAACTTTCTTCTGCCTACACGGAAATCTCTCTGCAAAGCCAGCACCCCCCCCCCCCGTTATTTAATGGGAAGCTTCCTTATTAGGTCTTGTAATGTTTTGAACAACGTTGTAGCTTTTCTTTCTTTCTTTCTCAGGACTAGAAAATGTGCATATCTCCATTACCAGTCATCTTCTCCAGTGTTGATACCATCCACTCAATCAGTTTTTCCCGAGAATTTAGATGGTGGTCCCCTTCACCCCACAAAAAAACATGACCTTTATATAATCCTGCTCATTTGCTTTTAATTGCTCAGTTACAGTTTTTGGAAGCTTACATAGCAGGTGCAGTTCAATTCTTGAACTGACACGGTGGTATTTGTTTCACCTTCTTTAGAGTATGTGGATCGCAACGGGTTTTATGATGTCGTACCACACCAATGTGTGATCCATTACTCCATCTCTCCAGTTCCTGACTGGCGACATGGTGTGCAACAATGCGTCTTGGCCGTGACCCACTCTGCAATTCAGTCAATGATGTCTGAGCAGCCATACAAACCTAGAAAGTTGCCTTACATCAGGTCAAGCTAACTAACCCATTTCAGTGGTAGAACATCTACATTACACGCACAAGGCTCCAGGTTCAATCGCCAGGTAGAGTTGTGGGAGACGTCAGTCTGAAACCCTGAAGACCTAACTTTGTTTATTGCTGTTGTTCTCATAATAATAATAATAATAATAATAATAATAATAATTTGTTATTTATATCCCGCCCTCCCCAGCCGAAGCCGGGCTCAGAGTGGCTAACAACAATAAAAGTAACACAGCATTCTAAAATCATTTCATTATAAAATTAATTCAAATCAAATTAATGGCAACCATTGGGCTAGAGTTCTATGAGGATTACCGAAGGAGGGGGTCAGACTGTGCCTTGGCCAAAGGCCTGGTGGAACAGCTCTGTCTTGCAGGCCCTGCAGAAAGATGTCCAGTCCCGCAGGGCCCTAGTCTCTTGTGACAGAGCGTTCCACCAGATCATGGTCACAAAACCACAGAAAAGTCACCATCATGCATACATACTGTCAGGGAATGGTCTAAAGATGAGGACTGGGGGATGCATTCTATGGCAGACCAGCTTCTCTCTGATGGAGAACTGGAGGGGGAAGAGTCACCCCACCTTGTCCACAGCACGTTCAGAAGCAGAGAGACAGACAGAAGCTGAACAGCTTAGGGAGGAGTTACCCAGTTTTGAGATAATGGCAAAGGAACCAGAAGGGAGGGGGCAGCTAGTCGAGACGTCACTTGAGAGTGTGGGGGACCTCCCTCCCCACGGACTCAGAGGTCTGAACGTATCAGAGAGCAAAGGAGTCAAAGGGACTTCCCTAAAATGCGTCGGAAGTCGGAAGGAGGGTTTAGAGTAGCCAACTGCCCTCTTTGCAAAGAGCTTTGCATTTGTGCTTGCTGTAAGAAAAGGACAATAAATCTATCAACTGCTCGTTAATTCTTATCTGTGAAGTTATCGAAGGGAGAAGAGGACTCTCCACGCCTGACACATATACATACAAAACTGAGGAACAATGGTGACCAAAATATGCCTTTACATTAAAATGCATACCAAAATACTCCTCCTCCTCCTAATATATCCTAAAATGCAAACGGTGAAGAGAACCAATACATTTAAAAGCATCCAAATTGTTTTTTTAAAAAATTAAATCACTCAATTAAATCTTTGCAATTTGACATCTTCACCTCCATAAATTTTCTCATCAGCTTTTGGGCAGCCACTGCAAATCTCGTAACTCTGTCAGGGATATGCCAGAGTCAAATGTGTAATTTTTGCTTGATCATCCCCATCAGGTATTTTAATCAATCCAGAATAAACTTTGCCCTTGGTTCATAATACAAGGAGCAGTGCAGTAAATAATGATATAGGTCTTCTTCTACCACACCTGCACAGATGATGTTCCACCAGAAGTTTCCTGTAACATCCATCTAAACATTCTGAAGGCATAGCCTGAAACCGTGAAGTCGCACAAACTAACTGGCAAATCATGTCAAACCCATGTTTGTCAAATCCAAACACAGCTGTGTAGAGAATATCGATTTCTGGATTGCCTGTGGATCTTACTGAGCCTAGAAATCACCCAGCTTATTCTTTATATATCTCCAAGTCTGAACTAGGGACCAGTTCTTAATAACCTGCAGAATTATATCAAAAGCTAACATTTGCTCTTTGTAGTGAGCATCATTAAGCGCTCATCCAGACTTCCGCTTGCTCAGCCTCTTTTCCCCAGGGGAACTGCTCAATTGGAGCAAACATGAATCAGGTTTCCTCTGACATTTGCTGTGGTTTAGCGCTAAAGAGTGGGCTTTCCAGGGAAAAGCAGTGGGACAAGGGCTAAACCAGTTGGATCCATTTTTTCTAGGCATGGACAAGCAGAAGTGTGGGCGAGTCCTAAATGATGGAGAATACTGACATGTAGCAATGGCCACAAGCCCACGGAGGACATGACTACCTATGGTTATTAGCCATTACACCAATGTGAAACATCCATATTCAAAGCCAACATATCTCAGAATATCAGACAGCAGTATGGGAAAGCACTTAGGTCCCTGTTCCACTTTTGACCTTCTGAAGCCAGACAGCCGCTGATGCATGTGGATTTCCCTTAAGAAGACTGGCGTGCTCTTAATCTCAGATTTCGCTTCCAGTCATTGTCTTGGTGTTCCAACCCATCCATTTCTATGCCCACAACAACGTATTCTGAATCATTTAGAGGGTGAAAATGGTGGGGAGTGGGCCCCACTACGTCAAAACGCGAACATTATCTAAGGCACGTAAAGGCACCACATGCACATTGCGTGAGGCATAATAAAATTCCAGCAAGATTAGTGTGTGGGGGGGAATGATTAAAGAATGGATAATAATTTGTATTAAATCTAGTTGGGATCTGTTCAAGGTGGTTTATTTCATTTTTGTGTGTGGTTGGCTCTCAGTCAGCCAGAGTCTTGCTGTAGTTTTAGCTACTTAGTCATTATGGAGGAGGGGAAACAGTATGGGACAGAAGGAAATATTGACCCTGATGTTTTTTTCCTCATTTGTACAATTATAACCTTACATGCTGGGAGGGAGAAGCAGGATAAAGGCAGCATCCACATGCCAGTTTTATTCTGTTTCCCTGACGTTTTACTACCTGTTAATTTCTGCATTATAATTGTGCTTTTGCATGATGTAAATGCCACTTCCGGAACTACGGTGGAATATGGCACAAGTTTAGCACTCATTTCCACATTATTTGCAAATAGATTATTTCTGAAATTAAGCACTAAACTTGCCCATATTCTGAAAAAATTTTTGCCCATATTCTGGAAGTAGTTCTTACGTTGTGTAAAAGAAAGCTCAAACATAACATGGACTGCAACAGCTAGGGAAAAGTCATGAAAAAGAAATCGTAGAGTTGGAAGAGAATCTAAGGATCATTTAAGCCAACCCCCTGCAATGCAGAAATATGCAGCTGTCCTATATGGGAATCGAACCTCCAACCTCAGCAGTATCAGCATCATGCTCTAATCAACTGAGCTATCCATGCTCAATAAATTGCAAGGTGAATACAGCCCATATGGTCACTTCTGTTGTTGTTGTTCTTGTTATTTAGTCGTTTAGTCGTGTCCGACTCTTCGTGACCCCATGGACCAGAGCACGCCAGGCACTCCTGTCTTCCACTGCCTCCCGCAGTTTGGTCAGACTCACGTTGGTAGCTTCGAGAACACTGTCCAACCATCTCGTCCTCTGTCGTCCCCTTCTTCTTGTGCCCTCCATCTTTCCCAGCATCAGGGTCTTTTCCAGGGAGTCTTCTCTTCTCATGAGGTGGCCAAAGTCTTGGAGCCTCAGCTTCACAATGTGTCCTTCCAGTGAGCACTCAGGGCTGATTTCCTTAAGAATGGAGAAGTTTGATCTTCTTGCAGTCCATGGGACTCTGAAGAGTCTCCTCCAGCACCATAAACACTAATAGTATACAGGCTGTGTTTAGCAGGTAATTTCCATGTTATCTGATCCTAGAAGAAATCCATTTGCAGCCCCCTTAACCCCCCAAAATTGCAGGAGTAAAGTGACAACCTTTGGGCAGGATAAGGGCATACAGTTCTCAGTTCACGTTTAAAGGGGAAACCTACCTAATTCACACTTTCTGAAAGAAGATGTGGAACAAAACAGCCACCCTTCCAAATTCATGCTACTGCAGATTTTGAAATGAATGTTTTTTCAGTCAAGTAATGTGTGCAAAAAGTGCATAGACTGGGGTAAAGTGTGGATAAAATTGCATACATTAGTGAAAGCAACATTTAAAAATGCACATACTGAGGAAGATTGCATACAAAAATGTGTATATTAGGAGATATCTACACTAAAATCCTGATGGATGTACTCACAAACTGATGTGGAAATATGGAGATATGGAGACCTTAATATAATATTGGAAAAACAAGACACAGAGAGAATCCAAAATTGACAGATTTGTCCATTCCAATTCCGATTGTCTGAAAAATTATTCAGACAGGAAAAGGTGTTTAAAAGACAAAAGCAAGAAAGCAACAGACTGTCATCATATTGGTTTTGGGTTTGTTTGTTTTTTAAAATGCAATTTCAGCATCTTAAGTGTAGCAACCCAGTGTCATAAAATCCCGAGTAGTAATTTCATTAAGAATGGGAGTTCTTTTCATTTCACTTAAATCCTATTTAGGCTTCCTTTGTATTTGCAGGGAGACAGAGACAGACCACCTCTGTTTCCAAAGAAGGGGGGAAGCAGACTAAGCCCCCAATTAGCCTCCTCTGAATGGCTTGCTTTGGTGATCTGAAACATCAAGTGTTACTCCGTAACAGGTTATGCTCAATGTTGTTAGCAGCGAAGTGTTTGAATGGACCAGGCCTTCTTGGTCTCAGATATCGAACTAAATAAGTTAGGAACAACTTGAATTAACAGCATAGAATTAGGTGCTGCAAATGGATCAT